ACAGTCATGCAATTTTTTGATATATTTCCTCAACTCTTCCATTTTTACATGACTCATTCGGTAAGGGATAACTAAGATAGGTTACGTGTCAAACTGAAAGTTTATGGTGAACTTAACTTTCCTGTCCACTGGTGGTCCGAGAGGTTCATCAAGAAATACATTCGGAAAGTCTCGGACTACTGGGATATCTTGAATATTGTGGAGAAAACAACTGAGTTAAAGCGTTATGTACTAAGAAATTTGTTAGGGGATAATAATATTTAAAAATTTTATTAGCTTGTAAATGACTCTTTGTTATGAGGCTTAAATATAATTTTTCTCTTGGAAATAATCCACGGTGGCGTGATACGTCGCTAACCAGTTCATTCTTGAAAATTTATCAGAGTCCCCCCATGTCAATCTCTATCAAGTCTGTCATGGGTGAAACTGAGTCCCGTAGAAGAGGGGCCAGATATTACTGGGGAGGGACCGGGTGTCCTGTAACGGTGCCAGATGATACGGTGGGGGCTCCAAATTGTATTGTGACAGTGTCGGATGATATAACGGAGGAGCAGGGTTGCATCGAGGTAGCGTTAAATCCTCTCGTTGTAGGGGTGACTCATAGTGTGGTGGAGGGTCAGACAATTCCCTCATCTCTTCCCTGGTCTACTAGGTAGAGATGAGTCTCTCTAAAATCTCGAAAAGTCAATCGACATTCTCTCGAAGCGACCTGTCTCAGGCTGCGTTGTTCAATAAAGGACCTCATCTCCTTGTGTCTTTGTACTTATTTTTAATAAGAAATGGTTGAGTGATGATTCATTCTTTGGTATTTCCTAGGATTTTTGTGTAAGGAATAGTTTTGAGGAACCTAGCTTTGATACCAACTGTAATGACTCATGAACTTGAAAGAAAATAAATTATGAATTGAATGCTCTGAGGAACCTGGCTCTGATACCAACTATAACGACCCATGAACTTGAAAGAAAATAAATTATGAATTGAATGCGGACGTGAAATAATAAATTAGGGTTTACATTCTTTACACAATAATTTGGGATACCCAATAGGGTTACGGGAATGATCTTTTAAAAAAAACAACTAATAACCAAAGAAATAAATGAAAAGTAAACAAACTGAACGTCTTACTCATAACCCTCTTATAAATCGAGCCTTGGATCTACGTTCTCTTTATCTGAAATTGTTAATGAAGGAATGAGCTACACTAACCTAGTAAAAATATCACATTACTCATCGACACAGAAATAAAAGTTGGTAGAAATCATAAAAATAACTAATGAAACTCTTAATTTAAGTAAAATTTATTTATCATAAATAAAATTATTTACCGGATGCTTACCTCAGCGAGGTTTCCAAAATCAACCTATAGAGTCAATGACATAAACAATATCATATTTTCATATTCGATCAGTAGGAATAACAGCTTTCTCATTTATCAGTCTACTAGTATTCATTGGGGTCCATAGGAATATCCCTACTACGAGTGAACTCTTTTTGAACATTTTTAACTAACGATACATCCCCATACCCCGTCCAGTTTGAGTGCTAAGAAATACTATCCCTCAATACCCTATCCGGTATAAGAGTGAAATGGATCGTCCCCATACCCTGTCCGATATGAGTGCCAAATTTTTAATCCTCGATACCCCGTCCGGTATGAGGCAACATTCACAGTAGGGTTCCCTATGTACCCGGTTCGTTCACCATCTCCTACGATATCCAGTAAGGCTGTCATTCATTCACTCACTTAATCAAATAATTTCTCGTTTACCTTTAATTTCTAATTCTCAATTAACTATAAATCACTAAAACAAGCAATACATGCATTAAGGGAATACAATTGAATTATCATACCAATTCTAGTGTATTATCATGTATTTAAAAACATAAAATCAATCAATCAGTGAAACATAGCAAACAATAATAGATAATCGGTTCCGGCTCCATTAGTAACATTTAATTATCAATATTTCTAAATAAGGGGCACAATCAAATTATCATACCAATTCCAGTGTATTATCATGTATTCGAAAATGTAAAATCAATCAATCAGTGAAACATGGAAAATAGTAATAGATAACCGGTTCCGGCTCCATTAGTAACCTTTAATTATTGATATTTCTAAATTACGCAAAATACCATATTATTCATAATTAAACTTCAATTCCATAACCGGGAATAAGTTTATGGATTCTTACACAAGTTGATATATGATATGTTAAACTTTCAGTCCTGCCTACTAACGGTCTCCGGGTTCCCTGAATTTTTTTTCGGGGATTAAAACATATTTCAAGTACCTAAAAACATCTTAAAAAATCCAAAATCAGTGTTAAAAACCCCTTTTGGCCAATTCCAGAATTCTGGCATAGTGGCTACGCCGTGCTCCGACGACAGCACCACTACTTGCAGCGACGGTTTGCCTTGGGTTGGCCATTTTCGGCCGATTTTGTACACATCCCTGCGAAAAAATATGTTAAGGGGCCTTGGTTGGCCCAAAAAAAATGAAAAACCGAAGTTTACCGGCGGCGGAATTTTCCGGTACGGCGGCTTCGCGGCTCACGTTCGTGGTTGGGTATTTTGCTTCGGTTAACTTGTAGAAAAACGAATGATGATTACAATGGTGGAAAAATTACACGAAACTAGAATCAAGAATGGTCTCATCGGATGCAGTTTTTTACTTTTTGCTGCGATGATGCTATCGGGCTTTACCCGCAGTTTTTGGCTTATCCACTAGTCCTTTTGCTCCGATTTAGCCATGGGGGTGTTTAAAATTGAATTTCGAGCAAATGAGAAAAATTTTACCTCTTTTGGTGGTTGGAAATGGCTCCGGCGCGGCGATGGGTAGCGATCAGCTCCCTTTCCGGCGGCTAGCTCTTCTTCTCCGGCAGATAGGGTTAGGGTTTGGTGTGAAAATGAGTATTTATATCCGTTTCCTTTTAATTTGAGCCGTCCATCGTGTTTAATCTAAACTGTCCGATCGCATTTAAATAGGAAGTGAATGTGGACCGTTCATCGCGATTTAATCTGGGTCATTCGATCGCATTTAAATAAGAAGAGAATCTGGACCGTTCATCGCGTTTAATCGCAACCGTCCGATCGCGTCTGAGGGCAAAACTGATCCGAACAGTCCACACGCGCGGGAACGAATTTGAACTGTCTGATCGCGGGCACGCGGATCGCCAGCGAGGCCTCCCGCATGGCACCGTGTCAGCGTGCCTTGATACGTGGCGTGCTTCGGTTCATCGGAACTGCTAACTGGGTATCCTACGTGACACATTTTTCTTAAAATATATTTTGACTCCCAGTTTCTGATTTTTCTTTCAAAAATACATTCATAACCTAAATTTTCATCACTTTCTTCTAAGATTATTTTTAATTTCATCGTCTACTTATTTTTTCCTAATTTTACATTAAATAATAATTTATAAAATAAAAAATTAAATTTTATACATAAATTTAAATATTACAAATTTAATTTCAGGTATTACACCTAGTGTACAACCTGCCACACAAAGTATTATCTTTGTAAGTAAACTCACGATCCTTTGGATTGTCCTTTGGATTGTTTAGGTAAAAATATTTAAAACTCCGATTATGATTTGTTTATAGATCTCGTAATTAAGAGATTCAATCTGAGGTATCAAATTTCTAACTTCCAACTATGGAAGCAGAGAAAAAGTTGTAGGTAAAAAATGAAAATTAGAAAGCCACGTTTCAGGTTGAAGAGATAGAGAGTATATAGTGATGAACAGAAGAAATTGGGTTCACCCATGAAGACTGGGAGTGTATACGATAACGGAGCAACAAATGCAATATGATCATATCATATATGCAGACTATGAGTATACAAGTAAATCCACAAACAATTTCAACATCATCAGACAGGCTCCTATATTTGCTTTCTAGAAAACAAAGAAAAAGGAAGAAGAAAAATCACTGACGGAACCACAATTCGAACAATAAAGGAATCTTTGCGGAGGAAGCAGAATCAAACTGAGATATCAGAAGGGCATAAGGCCTGAGAGACTGCTCATAATCGAAACTTGAGTAGCAGCCTAAAAGATCTTCTGGGTCTGTCCATTCAATTCCATCAAGTTTCTCCACATCAATAAGATTCAAAGCCCGCCTTTCAAATGCTTTCCAGCTCTCCATCATCACCATTCTCCAACCCCATACATTTTTCTTATCATCCAACTCATGGCAGCAAATGAACTTACAACCCTGGCTCAGTATTCGAATGGCTTGCTTCTGCAATTCAGGAAAACAATCGCCGCATTTCTCCCACCAAATTCCTGAAAATCAACTCAACATTATCAACATTATACCTTGCTAATAACAAAACTAAATTTTGTTTCCTAATACTTACTGGGATGGAATGATTTTGCCATCTCTATGGCAGTGTCTGTGAATAGAATTGGGTCCATGGACTGGTACTGTATCAGTTGTGAGACACAAGCCTTCTCCTCCTCATCACTAGAGAAAATGAGGTTGGATATAAATTGCTTAATCCGATTAAATTGGAGATCAGCTTCCTTGAATTTCTGGGCAAGCAAGTTAGATGGGTTAAGAAAAGCTGCACTTTCATGAATTGGAAAGATAATGTCTTTTTTGGCTTCAGAAAACAATTCCCATATGATTTGATAATGAGCAGAGTCCAGTGCATTTTTGTCCTCAACGTATTCAGCAAGGCTAGACTGTGTCTTCTCCAACAGCTCGTACAAGTATCCCAAACCTGGACTGTCCACTGAAAGTAGCAGAGACATAGCTTGAAATAATGGGCATAAAATCATCTCTAACCTTTTCAATCCATTCCAGAAATCCTTGCAATGAATGACGAAGTTAATGAAAATTGCAGCTTCTTTGTCTTCATGCTCCACCACCTGATCACTACATACTTGGATGGGTTGCAGTGTTTGTTCAAATCTGATAAGTGATTTCAACACCCAGAATCCGCTTGCAATTTTGCAGAGCTCAGCATCCCAATGCTTGTGATTCAAGCACCCAACAACCGCATCCAAATTCTTGAATTTACTCATATCCTTTGGAATGCAAACAATCCTGGGTTCGTAATATTTGTCTATGAATTTGGAAACAACCGTAGCAGATTTCACTATATTCCGCACAAAACCAACTTGGAATATGTTCACTAAAAGTTTCCCAACAACCCCAGCAGCACATTTGCTGATGACAGTCACCCATGGATACTGTTCATTGAAAAGATTCATCACAGATTGAGGAACTTTCTCATGAGCCAAGAACTGAACAATGTTTGCAGGATCAATGACATCAAGCTGTTCTTTGATATCCCGTACCCAGTACTTCTCTGAATCCCAAGGTAAAGCTTGGCTACTTTGAGTTTGAGGATAAACATCAGGCCATAGAAATATCCCTTTCGGTGTATAAACCCTTATGCCTCTAAATATCTCGTACCATGACCTGAACTTCTTTATATCAGGGGTTATGGTGCAACCAGTTTTGTTTAAAGACTGCTTCAAATCTTGGAAATACTCATCCACTTCTTTCTCCACTTGAGGAATCAAGTGAGTGTCCAGAGTTTCACGATCTGGCAGTTGATAAGGAGACCCGAATTCTGATACCGCCTTTATGAAGTCAATAAAGAACGGTGAGTCCGTAAAATCATATGAAGATTCTGAATCTTTGGGCCTGCTTGTAGCAATGAACTTGGCAAGCATTTTGTCCACTGATTCTTTATCCTTGTTCTTTGCCTCCATGACTGCTACAGCACCTTGTGATGCTGGTGGTGAGGAAGCACAAATGATCGCCTTTGACATGAGAGTGTTTCTTGTTTTCTTGGCAGCTGGTTATGAATTAAAAAAGACAGCGAGAGAGAGAGAGAGAGTCAATGCTAAAATGAAATGACAAAAAGAAAGTTAATCATCATCAAAACCACAAAGAAACTATATGCAAGAAAGATTCTTGAAAGATACAGAGAGAAAAATGGTGAGATTCATAAACTGAAGGGAGTAAAAAAGAAGAGCAGTTTCTTGAAGAAAGAATGAAGATTTGGCGAAACCTTACAGCAGAGGGAACCGTTTGAATTCTGTTATTACTGTTGAATGTAGGGGGCAGGGGTTTATATAGAGAGTAAACTGTAGAAAGGGTTTAATTGTTGGACTGTCTTCGGCTGGGCTTTTATATTTGTGGATTGACTTCGCAATTTTGATTTAAGTTTTTGTTGAGGCCCAAGAGTTTCCGGCCTAAAAGCTTGGCTTCTGTGTTTTCACGCAAATGTAAAAAATTTGCAGATGATTGAGGAAGAAAGATATGCTGCAGCTGTGGAATTGAGGAGACAGTAGGGAAATGACAGCACTTCAACTGTGTCGACTGCCACTCTCACCTGCTGCAACCCAATCCTCCTCCTTTGGTCACACCCTTTCATGTTCATTTCTAGCTCTAGTGACAAAACCCTATTCACAATTCAAAGGAGGAAAACCAGAGGAAAAACTGTACGGATCCGAAAGGAGGATCTTACAGAAACGCAACTACCCACCTCCTCACCTGCCCAAAATCAACAGCAGCAAGAACCTGACCTCCAAAAAGTTCGTTCTCTTTTTATTTTCGTTTGTTTTTTTAAAATGAATTTCTTGCTTATCGATTTCTTCATAGTAATGAATCATTAAGCTGTGTGTCTGTATATGCGTACGTCTTGGAGCTATTCAGGAAAAATAAGGACATGCTCTTCAGCGAGGTTGAAATATCACTTACTCCTTTCTATGTTCGTTTGACCAAATATCATAATTTTCAGTGTTCCAATTTTCTAAGGTTAAACTCACCATGATGAGTTCTTACGTTCTAAATAAATCATGAATTTAGTAAATATTTCTTGGAACTCAATACATTTTTCTACTAAGTTTTTAGTTCAGTTGCATTCGTTTGTTTTTATATGTACTCCAATGAATATATTTCTCTTTTGAATCTCCATAATTCATTATTAAAGTTCATTAATTTTGATGAATTTGAAATGTATTGTTTTAACTCTACTTAAAATTTATTTGAAATTAAACTCCTATGTTTGAAAATTGCAAGTTCGAATAGTTATTATATTAAAAACAATCATAGCAAAATCTCTAATATCGTTAGTAATGTTGTAAATTAACTCACCCTCATTTAAATTTAAAGATAATAAATCATTACTTTTTGTGTTTCCTGATCAAGATTCATTCACTATCAAGGTATTCACGTGATTGTGAGTACATTTGAATGATTTGCAATTCATATAATGATGAGGTTATTGATAGATTTCTAGATATTCACGAGTTTAGTATTAGTAGTGTAATTTCGTATCACTGCCCAGTTGGGTTAAAGAGAAAATATATAAATTAGGGTCCTAAGCCTTTTTGGGTTCTCAATGCAATAGCCAATATGAAAGGTCTTCAGAAGCTTGTTAGAGAAAAATGGACCAATTACTCAGTTTTGAGATTCACTAGCACTAAATTATCACACAAAAAAATCTCAAATTGTTAAAGAGAGCATATTTTAAGTGTCGCATGGTAGATTCAATAGAAGAGGAAATATAAGAAACACAAGAATGTTTATGTAGAATTGTCAAAGACTTAGAATAGAACCATATGAAGAGAGGGACTGGGGAGCTTTTAGAGAAAAAGAATTGGAAACTAAAGGTAATTAGAATGGATGAGTGTATAACTAGGGGAACAGTGAGGATTAGATGGCTAAGGAAGGGGAAAGTAATACTAGGTTTCCCATAAGATGATTAATGTTAGGTGTAGAGTAAATAGTGTTGCATTTTTAGGCTTAAAAGTTATTAAAATAGATGACCCATAAGTAATAAAAGAGAGTTTTAAGAATTTTTACTGTGAACATTTTGAAAACAATAATAGACAAAGTATACAACTACAAGGGATAGACTTTAATAAATTTAGCGAGGAATAGAAAGTAGGGCTAGAGAAACAATTTTCAGAAGAGGAGATTAATTTCACTGTCTTTGAGGGAAAGGGGGATAAGGCCCCACGGTTAGATGGTTTTCATAAAGCAACTGGAGGTGCTTGCTGATATTCTGCAGGTTATGGATGAATTCCACTGTATGAAATTTTTTTAAAATTCTTTAAAACTTTCCTAACCCTTTTTCGAGAAGTAGAGAATCCGACAGGTTTAAGAGATTTCAGGCCTATTTCACTAGTTAATATTGTGCATAAAATAATCATAGAAGTGTTGATGAATAGGATATGACGTAAAATGTGGCTTGGTTAGTGAATCATAGTTGCTTTTTTTGAAAGATAGACAATTGATGGATTGCATATTGATTGCTTTAAAAATGGTTAATTTAATGCAAAAAATAATAGGGACAGTGTGTTTTTAAAGGTTGATTTTGGAAAAGCTGATGATATGATTGATTAGAAGTTCCTAGAATGTTCTGAATGAAATGAATTATGGTAACAAATGGGTGAAATGAATTATGAAATGTATCTCTTCTGTTGGCATCTCTATTCTGATTAATGGTTCTCCTTTTGGACAGTTTAGAATGAAAAGGGGTTTAAGGGAGGGGGACTTGCTGTCCACTTTCTAGTTTCATATAGTAGCAGAAGGCTGAACTAAATGTAAATAGAGCAGTGAGTAATTGGGTTCATAAAAGAAGTTCCTTTTAATAATTCAGGGAGCAATTTCAGTTCACTTCAATTTGTGGATGATACATTGTTTTTTGTAATAAGATGAGGATCATATCATAAATTTTTAGAGATTTTTGGGGTGTTTTGAGTTGATTTCTGGTTTAAAGGTTGTTTTTTTGATAAGCAAGGTATATGGAATTGGTGTAGATAATGGGCAGATGGATAGGATAGTAGAGCAAATTAGACGTGAAGTAGCCTTCTTACCTTGTATATGCTTAGGCTTCCCTTTGAGAGCTAATCCATCCTCTGTTAACATGGCAACCAGTTTTTGATAAGATGGAAAGAGGTTAGCGGCATGGAAGGTTAAATATGTGGTAAAGGCCGTTTTGGAATCAATTCCATATTTTTTATGTCACTGACATAACTACCAATAGGGTTAGAAAAAATTTGGGAAGTATCATTAGGAACTTTTTGTGGATAGCACCAAAGACAATAGGAAGGTTCATTTAGTATCTTATGGAACAATTTGCATACCTAAGAGGGAGGGAGGACTAGGGTTTGGTAGTATTGCTGAAATGAATAGGACATTACTGAATAAGTGGACATACATGTGTTGTGATGAAGTGGGAACTTTTTGGAGGAGAGTTATATGTGAAATTCATAATAATGGTGAGCATTAGTCCCACTGAGTGAGAGACTACCGATGGGTTCGACAGGTTTTTGGAAAGGTATCATTAAGGACAACCTAGAAGAATGTGTTTTTACTTTTAATGATCATGGCTGTTTTATACTTCTCCTTGATGATGGTTCTATAATTGATTTTTGGAATGATCTGTGGGTAGAAGAGGAAAGCCTTTACTGTAGGTTCTTGAGAATAAACTATTTGTCCATTGCCAAATCTAGTCTGGTGTCGGCCTTTGGGGAATGGAAAAACATCTTTGGCTGGGAAAGTGATTTTAAGGCCCATTTTAATAATATCTTGAGGAACGTAACTTTGAATAAGGAGTCCAAGGATAGGATTGTTTGGAATTTTAATGTGGTTGAGATTTTTTAGTTAAGGGTGAAAGGGGTACACTAGGTGTCTTTTAGGTGTTGAGGAGAGACAAGCTCTTGAGGCTAGTATTTGGAAGTCACAAATACTCCATATGGTTAAAATGTTTTCCTAACAATTGATTAGAAGACGGGTATTAATGTTAAATTATTTCCATAATTGTAGGATTAAGTTAGATAAACCCAAGTGTTTGTGTTTTGTAAGGGCAACACAGATTCAATAGATCATGCATTCCCTCATTGTATATGGAGCTGGAAAGTATAGGGTACATGATTAGGTTGGTATGATATTGAAAGGGTCACCCTGGGTTCAATTAGGGACCTATTAAGTTTCATTGTGGGTTGATAAAGGGAGGGAAAAGATTTGGGGAACTTTTATTTTTTTATTATAATTTGAGGTTTATGGTTGGAAAAAATGGTAGCATTTTCAGACAAAAGAAGATGGGTGTTGGTGAACTTATGGATTTGGTTAGGATTCGGTTGGCTTGGTGGATTAATTCATGCATTCCCATATTGAAGCAATTGGCTTTGAATAATCTCTTCATCTCAATTCTAGAGTTGCCACTTGCGAGAAGAAAAAATGGCGAGATCAAACCTATTGTTTGGGACCCTACTCCGTCTGGTTGTTGGAAATTTAATGTTCACAAATCTTTTTTTAGGTAAATCTAGGCCTGCAGGTTTTGGTGGCATGTTAAGAGGCTGGTTGACAAACATAAGGTGTTTCTTTTAAAAAAATTATGGCATGTTAGACTCTAACATAGTTGAATTGATAGCGATTAAAAAGACTTACGGTCTGCTTGTTTAATCATCCTATGGCTGGTGTGGATAATGTTCTTGTGGAAAGCGATTCTACAATGGTTATGTTGTGGATGTTGAAAGATAATTATCCTTGGAAGCTGAATAAGATCAGAAACGAGATAAAAAAATATGAAGAATTTGTCGGGAAATATTGTTTTTATGATTATAAACAAAGAAAAGAACACAATTGTTGATGTCGTAGCCAAGTCTGGTGTAAATAGACAAGAAGAAGTTTGCATCTGGTTGTAATATGTGAGTTGATACTTATTCAGTTTCTATTGTCACTAGGAAACATTTCTTGACCTCGTTGGCTGCCCTTTCTTTTCAGCTTGGACTTGCTTTTCATGGGTATTTGGTGTGGGATATTCTTGTGTGGTAATTTGTGCGAGTGGGCTGCTTTTTTGGTACTTATCTCTAAAGGTTGTTTGCTATGGACTCTGCTCATTACCAGATCATGTGGGGATTGTTTTGTGAAGCCGGAAAAGACATTATTTTTCCAATTCATGAAACTGCAGCTTTTCTTAACCCATGGATTAAAGATTCAGAAATTCGAGGAAGCTGATCTCTAGTTTAATCGGATTAAATAATTTATATCCAACCTCATTTTCTCTAGTGATGAGCAGGAGAAAAGGCTTGTATCTCGCAACTGATACAGTACCAGTCCATGGACCCAACTTTATTCACAGACACTGCCATAGCAATGGCAAAATTATCCCATCCCAGTAAGTATTAACAAACAGCATTTAGTTTTGTTGTTAGCAAGGTATAATTAAGTTCATTTGCAGGAATTTGGTGGGAGAAATGTGGACATAGCTTTCCTGAACTGCAGAAGCAACCGATTCAAATATTGAGCTAGGGTTGTAAGCCCGTTTGCTGCCATAAATTGGATGATAAGAAAAATGTGTAAGAAATATAAATGTTATGTCTACGAGCTAATTATATATGTAATATATTGAATACATTATTATTTAATGATCTATTTTAATATATAGTAATAATCTTTTTATCATCTTATTATTTAATTTATTTGATAAATTTTTTTTATTAAATTTATAGATTTTACATTAAAATAGCGATCTTAATAATGAGAATAAAATATTTTATGATTTAATTTAAAATATTTTTAGTCGTTGAATAATTAAAATAGAATATTAATGATCTGGAAAAACTAATATATGTGCGATAGTTTTTATGAGATAAAAATTAATTGATCTCGTTAACTAAATTACATATATAGATAATGTATATGTAGATATGATCATTAAACCAATTCAATCGAGAATTTTTAATGATTAATATTATCTTAAACCATCAATAGATTATTCTCTTAGAATGATGAGACGTAAGAATTTTTTTATATATGAAATCATCACAGTAATTGACAAGTCGTTTATTATATTTTAATTTTGAACACCTATAGTTGAAAGGATATTTAGTGTGATTAAATATTTATAAAATTAATTATTAATCAAGATTGAGGATCTATCAACTTTAGTAATAAGTTTAAGTTCTATATTATTATTTATTATAAGAACTATTTTAAAATATTTGACAGAACAGGTAAATGAAAGAAGAAAATAATTTTTTATGTCATTCATTAGTCAGTTATAATTGACATGAAATATAGTTGGTTATCTATGGAGATTTGACAGTTAAATTATATTTTAGAGTTAAACCAGAATAATAATGATAAAAGAAAATATTACATCTTTTGTTAGCAGATTTTTAAGAGTAATTGTATATTTTAAATTATACGGTCGTTGAGAAGTATTGTTAGACACCAATCCTGATTAGTAAATTAGTTTAACCAATTTATTATCGAATTAGTACAGAGTGTTCGAATTTTTAAATAATTTTAGTTTAAGAATCTTCTATGAGATATATTTTAAATTTAATTTTTAATTTGTAAGTGCAGATAAATAAAATTAAATTATTTTATATTTTTTTGTTACATACTATAAAAATATTACAATACTGCAAAATATACTGGGTTGGAAAATGGTGATGATGGAGAGTTGGAAAGCATTTGAAAGGCGGCGGGCTTTGGATCCCATCCATTGACGTGGAGAAACTTGGTGGGAGTAAATGGATAGACCCAGAAGATCTTATGGGGTGATATTCAAGTTTTGGTTTACGAGCAGTCTCTACCTCAGTTGGATTTCTGCTTCCTCCGCAAACCTGTCCGATGCCTTTATTGTTTGAATTGTGATTTTTCTTCTTTTTTTTATGGCAAAGTGGAATTGTAGGAGTCAGTCTGATGATGTTTGAAAATGTTTGTGGGTTCCTCATTTACTCATAGTTTGGATATATGATATGATCATACTGCATTAGCCGTTCTTATATCCTCCTATACTCCCCACATTTTAATTTTAATTTTTTTTTTTTTTGTACCTATAACTTTTACTCTGCCTCCATGACTTAGAAAGTTAAGAGATTTGATGATACTTAAAGATTCAAATCTTTTTTTATAATAAAAAACTAATTTTAAATAAAATAATAAAAGAGATTGTGATTCTACTTTTTACGGCAAGGGTAATGTTTTTGGTATTTTGAATTAAAATATTCATAAATACCATTTTGTCAAAATATTTACTAAAAGAGATGATGTTTATCAATCAAGAGTAGATCGTCGGTATGTCACAAACATATCTCCTTGTGAGGTGATTTTTTAGTGGTAGATGGGCATGTAGGTAAAGACTATTACTACTTTCCACTTTTTTAATGGTTTGCATTTTCTTTTCTTACAAATTGTTTCAAACACCTTGTTTTATAATGTCAATTTATTTTCTTTCTTACTTACAAATTATAATATATATATATATATATATAATACATAAAAATTTTTTGCATCGACTAGAAACTTCCAACATTTTTTAATTTAACATAATTAAATAGTACTTAAACAATTAAATAAAAGGTTGATTTTATAAGTCATAAAATTTTAGAGTGTCTAATATCTCTCCCAAAATGCACCTAGCCTTTGGACTCATAATTAGGATAAGGATGACCTAATCGCAAATGAATTTTGATTATTCTATTTTTCTTGATTGTATTTAATGAATATTACAATCTATATTTCTCCGATATTAGCTCAAACTCTGTGGTAAATAGTAAAGACTAATTATGCACCGGTCTAAAATATCTCATAAACATTATGACTTTAGCGGGGTAGAAAAGATAGATTCTAAAAAATTGTTGAAGTTTTTAAAATCCTTTTTTTTTTTTTTTTTTAATTTCAAATTTTCTTCCATCATTGTTAATAAGAATTGCAATTGCCTTGATAAAATGGGAGCATGAGATCTCAAGCTCCATTTAAACCAATATTTTGTATCATGTAAATTATTACCTGAAGTTGAGAATTAAAAATATATCAAAAGATAATTTGTATTCTTTCTACTAACATATTTATTTGATTGATATATACGAATGGCATTTTGTTTGGAAAACCGATTGATTAAACTAATTTCTCGAACTAAACTCATATCTACACTGTTAGAAATTTTAATAGGATGGTTTTAGGGTATGGAAAACTTTTCTCATCTTTATCAACACCAATTTCCCCATCCTTGATCGCATCGAAAACATGTTTATATTTCTTATTCCTAAACTGTTAAAGAATATGAATTTCTTGCTTTTCCACGTGGATTTCTTTTCTTCTTTCATCTTTTCAAATTATAATCAAATTAAAACTATAACTACACATATTTTTAATCTAAATACCAAATTATTTTAAAAAATCTTAAATTCAATATACTTAATAGATTTGTTTTAAAACAAATATCTAAGTTATTTTTAAGTAACGTGATTTGATAATTTTTTAGTTAGTAAATAATAAAAAACTGTAGCAATTCGGGATTTAAAAAGAAATAAATTATAAATTGAATGCAGAAGCGAAATAATAAAGTTACAGTTTACATTCCTTATACAATAATTTAGAATACTTAATAGGGTTACGAGAATGACTCTTCTAAAAGAACAAACGAAAAATCAAAGAAATAAATGAAAAATAAATAACTGGGCATCCTATTCGCAACCTTCTTGTGAATCGGAATCTAAATCTTGATCATCTTGATCTGAAATGGTTAATGGAAGAGTGAGCTCTACTAAACTAGTAAGAATGTCACACTACTCAACGATATAGAAATGAATGTTGGTAAAAATTATAAAAACAACTAATAGAGCTCTTAATTTAAGTAAATTCCTTTATCATAAATAAAATTATTTATTACATACTTACCATAGTGAGATTTTCAAAATTAATTTATAGAAACAACATCATAATTTCATTTTCAATTAGCCAAAACAACAACTTTCCATTTTTATCTGCTTACTAATATCCATGGGGGTCTATAGAGATGTCCCCATTATACGTGAACCTTTACGGTTTTTGGTTTTTCTCGCAATGGCGCCGTTGGGCATTAGCCGCAGTTTCCGGCTCATCTGCCAGTCCTTTTACTCTGATACCATCAGGTTGTTCAAAATAAAATTTCGAGCAAATTAGAACATTTTTACATTTTTTGGTGTTCAGAGGTAGTTCTGGTGCGGCGAGGGACAGCGGTCAACTCTTTTCTCCGGCGACTGGTTCTTCTTCTCCGACGGGGGGCTGGCGGGTAGGGTTAAGATTCGGTATGAAGTGAGATATTTATACATGTCTTCTTTTAATTTAGGCCGTTCATCGCGTTTGATATCAACTGTCCGATCGCGTTTAAAAAAGAAATAAATATGAACCGTTGATCGCGATTTGATATGTACCGTACGATCGCATTTAAAGATGGAACAAATCTGAACCGTTTATTGTGTTTAATCGCAATCGTCCGATTGCGCTGAAGAGCGAATGGATCTGGACCGTCCATGCGGATGGGAACAAATCCGGATCGTTCGATCGCGGGTATGCGGATTGCCAGCGTGGCCTTCCGTGTGGTATCGAGTCAATGTGTCTTACCACGTGGGGCGCTCCGGTTCCTCGTGACTGCTTATTGGGCGATCCTGCGTGGTATATTTTTCCTAAATTGCGTTTTGACTCCGAATTTTCGATTTTTCTTTTAAAAATACATCCAAAACCTAAATTTTTACCTCTTTTTCTAAAATTATTTTCAATTTCATCATCCACCTATTTTTTTCTAATTTTCACATTAAATAAAAATTCAAAAATTTAAAAATTATATTTACATAAATTTATTTTTATTTTTTTAAAAAATTAATTTCGGAATAAATTTTGGAGCTCGAGTATTACAAAAACATTACGTGCATATATAAAAGAATAAAAATATATTATTATATACATGAAGTGAGTAAAGTAGGATGGAATGAGGTAGGATAGGGACCTATTTCCTGAGTTTTTTCCCTAATTTAAATGAGCTTAAGAATTTTCTCATTTCTTATTTAATTGGAAGTCAAATGAGGGACTGACTCATACTGTTTGATGATTTCTCATTAGATCTTTGTCAGATTTAAATTAACATGTCCTCTCTATGAAAACCATTAATTCTTTTTAAAGCATTAGAAATGTTTGTGTTTGGATCCTGAAAAATTTCTTAAGCTTATATGTGTTAAAACTTTTAATTACACATCAAAATTATTTTTTAGTGAAAGAAATGACTTCTATATAGTCCAAAGAAGCAAAATCTCATATTAAAAAATACTATAACTTGTAATATCCTTTTTCTGTTGGTAAATACTATTATTGATTATCTTTTTTATTTTAGTACATATTTAAATAAAATGATATCTAAAAAGAATTTGCTTATTTCTTAAGACAAAGTTGTAAATATTTTTAAAAACTTCAAAATTAATCGTAAATAACATTTAGTGAAAAACATCACGCCAATATGATCCTTCATAAGGAGGAATGTCTTTAACTAAACTTACTTAATAAACATATTGATTCCTCCTTAATTGATAAACATCATTACTCTTTGGTAACATATTTTTAAAAGATGGTATTTATCTTACTTGAAAAGGAAGTTATGAGTGTTAAAATAAGATAAAATCTTAAATATTTTTCAAAAATAATAAAACTTATTAATAAATCAAAATTTTTAAGTCAAAGTATTAAAGGTGTGATTCTTAATGAATTAAATCACCCCTTGTACAACTTATCACACAATGTATGATCATTTTAACTTAATTCACAATCCTTTAGATTATTTTGGGTGAAGATATTTCTAACACTATTAGGTTTTTTTATACAGCTCATTACTAAGAGATTCAATTCTAGGTATTAAACCTCTAACTTCCAAATCATTGAAGCAGGGAAAAAGTTGTTGGTAAAAATATGATAATTAAAATGCCGCGTTTCAGGTTGAAGAGATAGAGAGTATACAGTGGTGAATAGAAGAAATTTGGTTCACCCATGAAGATTAGGAATATATGAGGATGGAGCAGCAAATGCAATATGATCATATCATATATACAGGCCATGAGTATACAAGAAATCCACAAACAATTTCAACATCATCAGACTGACTCCTATATTTCCTTTTCTGAAAAGATAGAACAAAGAAGAAGAAACATCACCGACCGAACCACAATTCGAACAATAAAGGATTCTTTGCTGAGGAAGCAGAATCAAACTGAGATATCAGAAGGGCATAAGGCCTGAGAGACTACTCATAATCAAAACTTGAGTAGCAGCCTAAAAGATCTTCTGGGTCTGTCCATTCAATTCCATCAAGTTTCTCCACATCAATAGGATTCAAAGCCCGTCTTTCAAATGCTTTCCAGCTCTCCATCATCACCATTCTCCAGCCCCATACATTTTTCTTATCATCCAACTCATGACAGCAAATGAAAGTACAACCATGGCTCACTATTCGAGTCGCTTGCTTCTGCAATTCAGGAAAGCAATCACCACATTTCTCCCACCAAATTCCTGCAAATCAACTCAACATTATCAACATTATACCTTGCTAACAATTAAAGTAAATGTTGTTTGTTAATACTTATTGGGATGGGATAATTTTGCCATCGCTATTGTAGTGTCTGTGAATAGAGTTGGGTCCATGGACTGGTACTGTATCAGTTGTGAGATACAAGCCTTCTGCTTCACATCAATAGAGAAAATGAGGTTGGATATAAATTGCTTAATCCGATTAAATTGGAGATCAGCTTCCTTGAATTTCTGAGCAAGCAAGTTAGATGGGTTAAGAAAAGCTGCAGTTTCATGAATTGGAAAGATTGTCTTTTTTGGCTTCAGAAAACAATTCCCATATGATTTGGTAATGAGCAGAATCAAGTGTATTTTTGTCCTCATTGTATTCAGCAAGGCTAGACTCCGTCTTCTCCAACAGTTAGTATAAGTATCCCAAACCTGGACTGTCCACTGAAAGTAGCAGACACAGCTTGAAATAGCGGGCATAAAATCATCTGTAACCTTTTCAATCCACTCCAGAAATCCTTGCAATGAATCCCGAAGTTAATGAAAATAGCAGCTTCTTTGTCTTCATATTCCAACACATGATCACTAATACTTGGATGGGTTGCAGTGCTTGTTCAACTCCCGATAAGTGATTTCAACACCCAGAATCCGCTTGCAATTTTTGGACAGCTCAGCATCCCATTGCGTATGATTCAAGCACCCAACAATGGCGTCCAAGTTCTTGAATTTGCTCATATCCAGTGGAATGCAAACAATCTTGGGCTCGTAATATTTGTCTATGAATTTGGCATCAGCCATCGCAGATTTCACCATATTCCGCACAAAACCAACTTGGAATATGCTCACTAAAAGTTTCCCAAGAACCCCAGCAGCACATTTGCTGATGACAGTCACCCATGGATGTTGTTCATTGAAAAGATTCACCATAGATTGAGTAACTTTCTCATGAGCCAAGAACTGAACAATATTTGCAGGATCAATGGCATCAAGCTGTCCTTTGAGATCCCGTACCTAACACTTTTCTGAATCCCAAGGTAAAGCTTGGCTCCTTTGAGTTTGAGGGTAAACGTCAGGCCACAGAAATATCCCTTGGGGTGTATACACTCTTATGCCTCTAAATATCTCGTACCATGACCTAAACTTCTTTATGTAAGTCGTTATGGTGCAACCACTTTTGTTTAAAGAGTGCTTCAAATCTTGGAAATACTCCTCCACTTCTTTCTCCACTTGTGGAATCAAGCGAGTTTCCAGAATTTCACGGTCTGGCAGTTGAAAAGGAGACCCGAAATCCCATACAGCCCTTATTAAGTCAATAAAGAATGGTGACTCCATAAAATGTTCTGAAGATTCTGAATCTTTAGCCCTGCTTGTAGCAATGAACTTGGCAAGCATTTTGTCCACTGATTCTTTATCCTTATTCTTTGCCTCCATGACTGCTACAGCACCTTGTGATGCTGGTGGTGAGGAAGCACAAATGATCGCCTTTGACATGATAGTTTTTCTTGTTTTCTTGGCAGCTGGTTATGAATTAAAAAAGACAGAGTGAGAGAGAGAGAGAGAGTTAATGCTAAAGTGAAATGACAAAAAGAAAGTAATTCATCATCAGAACCACACAGAAACTATATGCCGGAAAGATTTTTGAAAGATACACAAAGAAAAATGGTGAGATTCATAAACTGAAGGGAGTAAAAAAGAAGAGCAGTTTCTTGAAGAAAGAAAGAAGATACCAAGGTTTGATTTGGCGAAACCTTACAGAAGTGGGAACCGTTGAATTCTGTTACTACTGTGGAATGTAGTGGGAAGGGGTCTATATAGAGAATAAACTGTAGAAAGGATTCACGGGTTGGACTCTGTCTTCGATTGGGCTTATATGTTTGAATTAAGTTTTGGTTGAAGCCCAAAATTTTCGGGTCTAAAACCTCTGCTTGTCTTTACAAAGGTTGGCTTTCTTATTGGTTTTTCTCAGTTCTTCAAGAAGATAATCACCGTTCGTTCTTAACCACGAAAATCAAAGTTCACGCAAGTTATTGCATGTTTTTGGTTTCCACAAAAATAAGAAATTTGCAGGTGATTGAGGAGGAAAGAGATGCTGGAGCTGTGGAATTGAGCAGACAGTAGGAGAAATGACAGCACTTCAACTGTGTCAACTGCCACTTTCACCTGCTGCAACCCAATCCTCCTTTCGTCGCACCCATTCATGCTTATTTCTAGCTCTGAGTGATAAAAGCCAGACCATAATTCAAAGGAGGAAAACCAGAGGAAAAACTGTACGGGTTGGGAAGGAGGATCTTACAGAAACACAACTACCCACCTCCTCACCTTCCCAAAATCAACAGCCGCAGCAGCAGCAAGAACCTGACCTCCTAGACCTTGAATATGTTCGCCAAATCCAAAAAGTTCGTTCTTTTGTTTATTAAAAATGAATTTCTTGCTTACCCAATTTTTTCATAATAATGAATCGTTAAGCTTTGTGTCTTTATATGCGTAGATCTTGGAGCTACTTAGGAAAAATAGGGACATGCTCTTCAGCGAGGTTGGAATGTCACTTACTCCTTTCTATATTTGTTTGATCAAGTATCGTAATTCTATTTGTTCCAATTTTTAAGGTTAAACTCACCGTAATGATTGAGGATCCCAGAGAAGTTGAGAGACGAAGATTACTAGGAATTGAGGACCCTGATGCGCCAACCAGAGACGATTTAGCAGAAGCTTTAGAGCAGGTGACTCTTTCCTTTCTTTTCACAACTCTATAAGCTTTGTCTTCCAGCAGCTCCATACATTTCAAAAGTTTAAACTATTTTTATCTAGTCCTTTTTCAACTAAATTATCCATAAATGAACACAAGGTCGCATCAATTTGACTTATGGTTTTTTTTTTTTTTTGTGCCAAAGATTAAAAAAAAACCGAAAAGGCCATGTAGAGTTCATTTTACTGTCCAATGAATTCTACATGGAATGATTTATAAATGAGTTCTTATGTTCTAAATAAATCATGAATTTACTAAATATTTCATGGAACTCAATGCATTTTTTATACTAAATTTTTAGTTCAGTTGCATTTGTTAGTTTTTATTTGTACTCAAATGTATTTATTGCTCTTCTGAATCTCCATAATTCATTTTTAAAGTTCATTAATTTCGATGAATTTGAAATGTATTGTTTTAACTCCACTCAAAATTTCTTTGAAATTGAACTTCTATGTTTGAAAACTGCAAGTATGAAAATTAAAATTTGCAAACAACTTCCACCTTTTCTGTGGAATTAGTTGCTTCAAATCAACCCCTAAAAAAATGGTGATGTTAGTCTATGAAGAGCCCTAGTTTGACTGCCCGGAATTGGCTGGATGATACAATTGTTGGCACATATGAAGATTTTGTTTTGCGATGCCAAGAGTTAAATTCATACTATCATCAATCATATATAGGGTTGGGGACATCAGGATGTATTGTGTATTTTGTTTGCTTCTCCTCCTAGGTTTATCCACTGCAGCAATAATTTCCTAGTATCATTTTGTGTATTACTAGTGGACCAATGAGTTAGTTAAAGAAGTACATAAACTAATCTAAGATTCTTCTACCTGTCACTTCTTTACAGATTTCTGAAAATATGAAATTCTGGTTTTCAGGTTTATGCATGCTTTTCATATACATTGATCTCTCTTAATTCATTCACATCAGAGGTACAATTATGTATTTTCTGCTCATATAGGTAGATGCTTTAAGTTATTTTCCCCTGTCAACTATGGGTTAGTTACCTCAATTCTGCTCCTCCATTATATTATATGCAATGTATAGCTTTCATCATCTTGGACATGTAAACTTTTACCATAGCCATTTGCTGTCCATTTGTGATTCTAAACATACCATACATTCGGTAACACATCCAATATGTGAGTATTTTAGGGAATATTTGAACATATTTTAGATGTAAAGCATAAATTATATTTTATAAAAGATGGTCGAGTATCATCCATATGCATTGGCAAATGGGTATTTGAGATCTTTTCTTAAAGATTGGGAACACTTCAAAATTTTAATTATGGAGGAGATGGAGTTCAACACTTTGATTAACAGTATATTCCCTATTAACCAGGTCAATGAAGGAAAAGTTCCAGAAGATCGTGTTGCTCTGCGGATGCTAGCTGAGGAAATGATGCAATGGCCCAATTTAGAGGTGTTGTCAAAAACTGAGTAGATGGTATCACTGATGCTTAGTAGCTTCTTGGGGAGATTTTGTAGTATTTTCCTAGATCATATTTCAAACTTCCCTGTACTCGTTCTGAAAAGCTTACTGCATCTTGAGTTGGCTGTTTTTTACTTTATGTTTTTTACAATAATTGCAACTTTTCTTGCTTGTTTCATTTTTCATCATTTGTTTTCTATTTCCGTAATGACTAAGGACCATCCTCATCAACATAAAGAGAACACGTTGACCTTGAACAGGTGGAAGTCCCAAAGAAAAAACGAAGTAAATCATTGTATGCAAAAGCGACAGACACAGGAGTAAATCCTGAAGTAGCTGCTAAGAGACTCAATATCGATTGGGATTCAGCTGCTGAAATTGATGATGATGACACTGCCAGCGATGAAGCAGAAGTTCCTCCAGCTGTGGTTTGTTCATTTGATTGCTTTCAATTTAACAATTATATCTTTTATTGGTATCATATCCTATTTCATTTTCTCTACTTCTGAAATGGACCTATTTTTATGCTGCTGCCTTTGCCCTTTATATATTCCAGCTATTTTTTTTATCTCTTCTTCCAGTTAGTACAGTTTTAAAATCATTGTTTAGATGTGAGTTTCTTGAATGCCATTTATCACCCAAAAAAAAAATCTTTTTCAAAGGTTTAAGGAAGGTACATCTAAAATTTTTAATAGATCGCAGAGAGCTAGACCCTTGTTGAACAATTTTAGATGTAAATGGAGTGATTTCACTGGCCAAATGTCTTATGCAATATCTTTTACAATTATTGTGTTCCACAAGATTGTAGAATGAATAATTTTTTGCTTAGTTTATTGCTGAAATGTTTATCGTTCTTCTAAAGTAATGGATTTTGTTTAACTTAATATATAAAATTGTGTACTGTTATTCCAAGGTCCTCCAATTTAAATTTGCACCCCGCTTTGTTTTATTAATAATTCATTTTACCAGTGAGACGAAAATGCTTAGTATTTATGGGAGACAAATAGCTTTTCCTTATAAAATTAGTTTGAACATAGATGTTAAACAAGAAGCCAAAAAACACCATTGTAACTCTACTCTAGTTATTTGTTCAAAATTTTTTCACTCAACTGTGAGATCACATTCATCACCATTCCTTTGAGAGAAACATAGAGATACAGTTTGCCCTGTAGGATCCGAAAGATGCTTTTAATTTATATTTCTATAAGTAAAAATTAATTTGCATAGAGCTTTTCTTTCTTACTTACTTTTTTAAACTTCATTTTTTTGCATTATTAGTTGTTGTAACCAGGGAAGTTGATCTTTTTCAGGGTTATGGAGCACTGTACTTAGTGACAGCTTTTCCAGTCATCATTGGTATATCTGTTGTATTGATTTTATTTTATAATTCTCTCCAGTAGAAATTTCATCTTGACTATGGATTGCAATGTACAATTTCACTTCAAAAGACATAAATTCCCTTAAGCAGTCAAGCTTGTATACTGAAATGTAGAAATAGAATAATGCCTGATGAAATTGATCTTCCAAAGCACTAGGCTCACTGTAAACCACATGACAATTTTTTTTTTTTTCTTGTTGTTTAAAATGCTAAGAGATTGTTCTCAATTATATGAAAACCAAATGTTAGGAAACTATGTGATTCACTATTTACAGATTAAAATGTCTATGTTAGAAATTATAATTTGAAATTATTATCTGACCCTTAGGATGCATGTAGGTTATGAAATTTTTATGTTTATTAGAATTCCTAGCAACTAAGTAGTTTTATGGAGTACAGTAATTATTTAGAAATGTCTTTTGGGTATGCCCCATTAATTAGGAATAATTTAAATTCTTGCTTTGTTTGTTTTTGTACCTATAAATACCCCCTTGTCTTTTGCATTTGAAAGCATGTCAGGGAAAAGTTCTCTTCATATAAGTTTCTTTAGTTTTTTATTTCTCTAACAAAGTGGTTTTTGAGCCAAATTCCTTAGAATTGAGAGAAGAGTGTGAAAAAATTGAGAGATGACTAACAATGCAGTTTCTTTCTAGTTCTCTCGTCTCACAAAGGAGAATTATGAGAGATGGTGTCTATGCATAAAAGTTTTACTTGACTCTCAAGATGTGTGAGAGGTTGTAGATAAAGGCTATGAGAAGCCTCAATATGAAGAAGATTTATCTCCAAATGAGAAGGAAGCTTTGTCCAAGTCCAAGAAAGAAAGATCAACAAGCCATCATTCTCATCCATCAATATTTAAATGATTAAATGTCAAGAAAGTGATAGATGCTACCACTTTAAAGGAATCTTAGAAAATTCTAGAAAAATCTCGCAAAGGTGTAGAAAAAGTGAAGAAGGTGAAACTTCAATTACTAAAAAGAGAATTTGAAGCTTTTAAGGATGAAGGATTCAAATTAGTCTTGGGATGTTCAAGGGAGAAGGCAATTATGAATCAATTAAAGAGATATGGAGACAAGATAGAAGATGTACATGTAGTGGAGAAGATTCTTCATTTTTAATTTCCAAGTTTGATTATGTAATGTGTATTGTTGAAGGGTCAACAGATCTAGACTCAATGACCATTAAAGAACTAAAGTGTTCTCTATAAGCATATGAAGAAAAGATTAAGAGAAGACAAGAAATGTCATTGGAACAAGTTCCTAAATCTAAGGCTATTTTAAAAAATGATGGAGGAGAAAAGAGTCAATTTAAAGGACATGGATGAGGAAGAGGAAGTGGTCTTAGCCATAGTGGGTGAGGAAGAGTCAATGAAAGATTATTCAAACAATCAAAAAGAAGCCAACCATCACTAGGAGGATGTGGAGAAGCAAGAGGAAGAGTACAAGGCTACTATCAAAATTCAAATGGAAGGAGGTATGAAAAGTCTATAATTGTCATAAACTTGGCTATTTTGCTTGGGAATGTCATAGTGACACTATTTTTTTTTTGAAATAAAATTATATAGAAGTATTATTCACAAAGGCACTAAAGGGAGTACTACCCATATATAAAAATATTTATAATTCAATTAACTGATCAATAATGTGCCCAAAATCTTCGAACCGATTCATGTCATGACCCAAGATCATATTACCAAAAACATGAAACTATCTATCCTTGATACTAATCATCTCTTTTTCAATAATCTCAAAAGCTCTAATATTTCTTTCCTTCCAAACAATCAAAAGATAGATAGAGAAATTAAAAACAAATAGGTTATCTTTTTACATAAATCCACCCAAGCCCATAATTCATCCTTCACTGAGCCTGCAATTACCCAATTGATCCCGAGGAGACTATACACCATAATCCATATGTTATAAATCACCGGGCACCACATTAGAATGTAATTATAGGATTCCACATCCCTTTACACAAGTAACATCGATTAACAATAATTTTACCTCTCCACATCAACTTATTGATAGTTAATATACTATTCTTACTCGCCTCCCTAGCAAAAAAAGCTACACTTGGGGAAGCCTTCTCTTCCATATCTGTTTTTTCATAAAGAGATCATAATCATTCCCTTCCCTCCTAGTCAAATGCTTGTGAAAGTTCTTCATTGGGAAATCCCTTCGTTTTCTCAAATTCCACATAAGCTGGTCATTATAATTTTCTAACTGAGTTTGCGATAGTATAGAGAATACTGACTTGGGTCACTGGCCATCCGCCGGGAGTTTCGGGTTTAATACCGATATTTTAGCAACAAATCCAATAAATCTAAGTGTAGTCCTTGGTGTATTGATCTTTTTTGGAAAGGGAGTGTGTGCGAGTTGTTTATTTCAAGAATAGGCTGGATCCAACCAGTTGCATTCGCTAGAACTAGGAAAGAAAAGGGTGCACGATCCCGCGAATTACTTCTGAATAAATTCAAAAAAATCAAATTTAAGAACCATAGCATTTCGTGATTCATTGGTAAATCTACTTTACTTTGATTTTCTATCAACCAAAAATAAAAAATCTGGGATCATTAACATGGTTAAAGCTAAACCGTTTGAAGTCCAGATGCAGCATGGTACTCTTTCTACTACTATAGTTAATACAGAAAAAATTTCAAAACGAATAGTTAGAATTTTTTTTTCGATATAAAACACTCATGTCGATAAAATGATTTGAGCCCCCTTTTTTTATTGGAAATGGAAAAATGGGTATTTCAAACACCCTTTCGAAATTTTTTTTTCGAATGCTGAATTGATGACCTAAGTATAAAGTAAGAAGAATTCTTTGGATTTGAAGAAAAAAAACAACTTTGCTGACAATTATCTATTTTTGGTTGGTCAGAAGAATCCTCCGAATATTCCGGTCTTGGATTAGTGATCATATTCGATATTTTTTTTTGAATATGAATAGAGAAGAGAGGGAGAGGATAGGCTCATTACATTAAAAAAAAAAAAAAGACATGGGAATGAAACTCCCATAAGAAATTTTGAAGTAATTGAGCGTGAGAGCCAAATGAATCGAAAGATTCATGTTTGGTTCGGGAAGGGGTCATGAAATTTTTTGAAATGAATGTAAAGATAATCTACTTTCATTAAGTGATTTATTAGATAATCGAAAACAGAGGATCTTGAATACTATTCGAAATTCAGAAGAACTACGGGATGGGGCCATTGAACAGTTAGAAAAAGCCCGGGCTCGCTTACGCAAAGTGGAAATGGAGGCGGAACAGTTTCGAGTGAATGGATACTCTGAGATAGAACGAGAAAAATGGAATTTGATTAATTCAACTTCTAAGACTTTGGAACAATTAGAAAATTACAAAAATGAAACCATTCAGTTTGAACAACAAAGAGCGATTAATCAAGTCCGACAACGGGTTTTCCAACAAGCTTTACAAGGAGCTATAGGAACTCTGAATAGTTGTTTGAGTAACGAGTTACATTTACGCACCATTAATGCTAATATTGGTATGTTTGGGGCGATGAAAGAAATAACTGATTAGTCCTTTACCCTTTTTTACTATAGGCATTATTTTTTTTGCTTCAAAAAAAGAATTAGGAAATACTCATGGTAACCATTAGAGCCGACGAAATTAGTAATATTATCCGTGAACGTATTGAGCAATATAATAGAGAAGTAAAGGTTGTAACTATTGGTACCGTACTTCAAGTGGGCTCTTTTTCTCATACTTATTAAATTGGAAATAGTGAGCCAATTCCTAAATTATGTTTCGTAATTTCATAATCCAATTTCTCAATTTATAATTGCCTCTTGGATACAAATCACGAGAATGTATATTCTTCCTCGAATCTTTTATTGAAAGGTAAAGGATTAAATCCTTTTAAGAAATAAAGTTTTTGATCGTAAGATGAATCAAACCAAAAGACCCCTTAACTATTAAGGGGGTTAATAGAACGAATCACACTTTTACCACTAAACTATACCCGCTACAATGCGATTATTGTATCAAAATGGACTTTTTGTCGAACAAGGTAATCCGGCGTAATCAAAATAGAATCAGAAAAAATCCCGAAAATTTGAGCATTGACGTGTTTTGTCAACAAACCTAATGAAATTAGTAAAAGAGGACTCATTTCAGTTATTTATTTTAATAACTAAATAACAAGGTCTTTTTTTTTCTTTTGTGGGAGGAATTTTGATAGATAAGGTTTGGCAAAAGGGCTTAATTCATAACATAAAAATATTCAAAATAGATTGGCAAGAATCCATAGTTTCTTTATTTTTATTTTTCTTTATTAAAATATATTATTATTATATAATAATAATAATAGAATTAGAATATAAAATATATTAAAAACATAATACATAATAAATAAATAACAACATAATAAAGATTTTATATTATATATTATATAATAAGTAATAAGAATAAAATTTTTATTTATAAAATTAAATATTAAATAAATGTAAATAAAAAAAGAATATAAATGACACTTTGATTCTTTACCATAAGAATGGTAATAGTCCTTCTTATTCTTATGCTTCTGATTCTTGTTTCACTCCAATAACAAGCCCATTTTTTTTTTTGAAATCAAATGAATCATTTTTTCTATCATTCATTGTACAAAAAAAAAGGCCCGGCTGGGTACTGCCAGGCCAGGCTGTGGAAATCAAAAAAGACCCTTTTTGACGAGACGAAATCAAAGAAATATTCTTCTTTTTTATATTTTTATTTGATATATCTCTTTCGAGCCTTTTCTATACCTATATCGAAATGGAATTGCTGATAAAAGTTATATATATATAATATAATATTAAAATAATAATCTATAAAATAATAATCTATACAAAAAAAAGTAAAGTATAAAAAAGTAAAGAAGGGCTTTCCCTTTTTTTTTTTTAAGCATTACTTTTTGTGTAATGTAACATAGTAATTACCCCTTTTCAATTAGGAGAGATGGCTGAGTGGACTAAAGCGTCGGATTGCTAATCCGTTGTACGAGTTATTCGTACCGAGGGTTCGAATCCCTCTCTTTCCGTTTCCTTTTTTGATGATGTGGAATAGATAAAATTCTAATAAGATTATAACATTTCTAAAAATCAATATAGAAAAAAAGCAAGAAAACCCTTATTTTTTTATTCTTCACGTC